CCCTCTCAGCTCCTTTACTACTGACCATAGGCGAAGAGCTTCGAGCTCGTCAATCTCCAGCGTCTCCTCGGTCTCATCTATCGAGGCCCTGAGTGACGATGCCAATGAATCAGAAGAGGACGCTGATGATGAAAAGGAACAGCCTGCTGTTCGCGGCCCGTCTTATGGTCGACGTGACAAGGGTCGTAAGTCGGGCATCAAGTCTACAGGTCGGAAAAGGGTGAGGCTTTCCGACGATGATGGCTATGACGGTCAAAGAAGCAGCGATGAAAGCGATCCGTATGAGAGCTCGGACGATGTATACGCTGCTGTGGACGATATCAGCGACGGAGACGATGAGGACCAAGATGTTGAAATATTGGAAGAGCTGCTGATTGTCGAGTCGGAGGACGAGCACGACGTCGACGACGTTTTCAAGACTTCCACAGTGTCTGAGCTCGAGTTGGCCGGTACCAACACTTTTGAAGATCACATGCTGCTGTCCGCTGCCTCGTTCTTTGACGAGGATCAGCTCTACAGTGCCATGGAAACCTTTGGTGAGACTGACTTCGCCAGCGAGGCGGCTGCAGAGACGCCAATGCCTAGGCGTGTCCATTTCGAAGAAGACTCCGATTCCTCGTCGGATAGCGACTCGCATACAGAGGATGAGATACCGAGTGATTTCTTGCAACAGGACAGTCTCGACCCGCAACTACGTCGTATGATTGAGAACGACAACGAGAACTGCAGCAGCCGCCGCCGCCGTCGCCAGTCCGATGAGTTGTTCGCTGAGTCGGACTATGGCCATTCGAACATCTACCACGTCGAGTCTGACGCCGTTTCCGAGGGATCCGAGTCGAGTGGCTATGAGAGTATGCAACATACCTGGACTTTGACCTTGATCCTCCTACTGACATGTTTGAAGCCGATGATGGCGAGACCACAGATGAAGACCTGCCACCACCGGCAACAATCACCCACCCCCGTTCCATTCTCCGCCGCGATTCCTCCGCCTCTCTGCCTCCCGCCGACGAGAACAAAAGCCAACCCCCTACTCGCCGGCGCGGTCCAATCTTAGGTACTTTTGTTGCAGACCCCCACAAGCCGGTGGCCTTGGTCGACTGTACGGGGAAACATCTTGTGATCATTCCAGCCTATGCCTCATCCCGCCATGACTGGCTTGAGTCTGCCACCAACAGCATTTGCGGCACTGCCAACAATAGCCCACGTGCCACTACAATGCACCTCATAGACGAGAGCGACACGGATGCTCTTGCCTCGCCGAATCGTCACGACCTTAGTCCCATGTTGGCATCGAGCGCTAACCTAATGATTACGGCCCTTGGAAACGACATTGCCCCGGGTGGTCAAGTCATGGGTCCTCCGGAGGCATTTTACCCATCTCGTGATTTTGCTATTGATAGTTCCTTTGAGGATGACGACGACGATGATGATGATCCCGAAGCCGCCTTGAATGTCGAGGATTTCATCGACTTTGGAGACGGCTCCTCCGACGAGGAGATGGGCAAAGCATCTGACGAAGATGCGATTGCCTCGCCAATGGCCACTGCATCCATGACAGTCGTAACCGGCACTCCTACCCCTAACCGTGGAGGTGATACACAACAAAGCAATAGTGCCGAACGCTTCCTGAATCATCTGGATCGTGGCATTGTGACGGCCTTCCGTCGCAACCACAACAGATATCAGGCCCTCTTACGTTTACCCCAGCACCGCGAATTCATGCCTGCCAATTCGCCGTCCCGGCCTGCTAGCGTCTTCCGTCATGCCAGACATACAGACCAGCGCACTCCCACTCGGAAACGCAAGGCTAGCGGATATGCCGGCGGTGAGGCTGTGCGACGGAAGCTCATGGATGCTCATCGGCGCACTCAGATTCCTTTCTAAATCTAGCAATGCTACATGTTCGCCCGCAACTCCTTATGGACGACTGGAAGGGATTGGATGCATTCTTTTATTTGCCGTCTGTGTCACAACATAGACTTCGTCTGGCAGGTCCTCTAGATATTGCGCTGTGGGCTTGTTTACCACATAGACGTGTATTGATTGATCTAGCGAGTCAGAGTTGTTACTTTGATGCATCTGAGCATGGTCACGGGAGCTGTACTATGGATACATGTTCGAGGACCAAAAGTTGATGCCTTTTGAGTTGCGGTGTCTGGTTCACTTCGTCCATTGTAGATCTGAGATCTACTCATTTGTCTACTTTGGGTCTTTACTTTTTTATGGCGCGAGCAAATACCTCGAGGATCCTGGATCATTTTTTCGTTTACTTTTTTTTTTTTTTGCATTCTATGGTCACGATGTTATACCAGTCATGTGAGAGTCATATACCAGCAATTCCAAAACAGATTCAAAAGTTCTTAAGCTTCTGATTGCTCCACGTAACATTATTTACGTATAATATTGTCTTGCCGAAACCGGCTCCAAAATTTTACTCATAGTTCCTGAACTTTCAGAGGTCAGGCAATAGTCGCATAGATAATATCTACGACAGACTCTGCCGAGTGCCGACAGCAGGCATCGTGCGACACTGCCAAGAACACTGGCGACGCCTGGAAGAGTCTTTGAGCTCAAACTCGAGATATTCCGCAGAGTAACAGGTAGACAGAAATGCCCCTGGTCCGTATCCACAGAGTACGGAGAACTATCTAGTCCGCAATCCGTGCTGCAGTGTCAACTAGCCCATCCGTCAGTGACTGGGCACTGACACTTGACGTGAGAACGGAGCGAGCGACTCTCTGGGGTTGGAGTCAGGTAGCACCAGCATAGTACTCCGTAGTACTGCTAGGGTAGCTACGGTAGTAGCTACTAGCACCAGCTAGACTTGACCAAGCTAGAGTCCGTCTTGCATACATTAAGTGGCTGGCTGTATGATTCCGAATGCTACACTTCGAGACTGTAGTACCGTACTACGAGTCTACAGTAGTCAGTAGGGTATCTAATCCATCCTAAGCATGGACTCGTGGCTGAAATGATGGCTCGTTCGCGCCACAGCGGGAAGTAGTCAATAGTGATACCATACTATTACTCGGGCTCTTGACCTTGACTTGACTCCATCTGTAGGCTCCCGTGCAGGATGTGACCCTGACCCTGCCATGCTCATCGAGGGATGCAGAGTGATTCGTTGGTGGGAAGATCATGCGTGTTCGAGCTGATGGCGGCTATGGTGAAGAATAGAACAGCCTGAGGAGGGTCTTGTTCTTGATCATTGTCAGTTGCTTGTTTGGATGGCGGTTCACGGAGGACTCGGAGTGCATAGACACTTGGTTTTAGAGTCGGTAGAGCAAGTAATCTATTTTGGATAAATATAGCAGCCGACAACGCTATTGGGAGACGATGAGACTGGAAGAGTTTCAGGGCGAGACGCCAGCGGTCTTGGCTGGGGGCTTGCTTTTGCTTCGCTTATTTTTGGGTTTGGATTATCTACTTCCTGAATCAGGTAGTGCGATCCTTCTTTTGTTTGTCTGCATATGCTGCAGATTGCCATTGAATCTGCATGCTGTATACTGGTAGAGCGTTGTGTTGCTGGGTAATTTGACGTGTCTATGGGCAACGGCATAACAGGTTGATTTGTCGAGAATACCTAGCTGCGGGCTTTTCTTTTCCCTTGTTCTTCGACTTCTCCACCTATCTACCCCATCATCATCATCATCATCATCATCAATCCCGTCTATTCGTCCATCCACGCATTAGCCGAGTGACTTTTAACTTTTAACCTTTTGCTTTGTAACTATGGTGATGATAATCATGATGATTTCCATCGTGGACATTGTTCAAGCTTACCGCGAGGAGCCCAATGCCGCATCTGCAGACTAGGCGCCGGTTGAACCCCTACCACCGCATCTCTGCATTTTTTGCAATTTCACTGAGGTGTGCCTCCTCTTCTGCATGACCATGACAGTGACAAATAAGCTGCCATTTACATACCATAATAAGCAAACCGCTGCAGGAAAGAATCAACCCCTCCAGGGAGTCAGGGACTGAGGCCGGATCTAGACTGAGTGCCCCCGCAGTCGCCGGCATTCTCGCTTTAATTAGTTAGTCCAGTCGAGGTATGTGAGCTCACCTCCGTCCGAGTAGTTCGTTTTACTTGACTCCTGTGAAGTGGTCTAGTCTCCTCGATCTGGACGGCCCTGATGAAGATGATTGGTGGCTCTTCGCGCTTCCCTGATCACTTTCTGCTTTCTGCTCTGTTCCTGCACTAGCGCGCGACTTCAGACGGACTGCATTTCTAGTGCATGCTGGCCAATTGGCCCCTGAGCTGTTTCAACTCTGATCGCTCATTGGCAACAGGGCTTCAGTCTCCCGGTTTCACCAGCTAACTCAGGCACCGCCTGTCAAACTGCTGCTGGATGTGTTGAAAAGAGGCGTTTCTCAGAATGTCTTACCTGCTTTTTTGGGCTATGCTTGACAAAGATGCTGCTCCGCCAGGTGTCCTGTGAATGGTCCGCTTGAACTGGCCCATTGTCCCCGAACCACCAGGGCCTTTGTTCTTTGTCCCCATTGATGGATCATGAGGGGCATGTGGTTGTTTCACTTGCATCTCCAGAACTGGTCAATGGCATGCAATGTTGTAATGCTGTGGCTTGTTTCATGCTGCCAGGGCCCTGCGGCCGGCTTTTAAAAAGAGCTGTATGCCCTCTTCCGCTTCAAGAGAACTAAGCGTTTGTTTTCTGTTTTCCTAGCTCTATTACTTTGCCTTGGCTCTGACCAAGTCGACCTTCGCTTTCTTTTCTATCATTGTCGTTGCTCTTTGGTGGACTGTGATCCCAAAGACACCCCATTCACCCGTCGGATTCACTCTTTGTGCCTTCGGGGTCGTTGCCATTATTCTATTCATAGCTCTGCTCTGAATTATTGTTGTCGCTGGTGTACGATATCAATAAGAGTAGTACTCTTCTTCTGGATCTTCTTTCGGTTCAACGCAACCTCGTCCTCAAGGCTTTCTTCCTGTCTTCATCTACTGTCTGTCGCGCTAACGCAAATACAAACTCAACATGAAGGCGGTTTCGGTCACTCTCGTTTCTCTTTTCGCCGTGGCCCAGGCCACTGGCTCGGTGAGTGTCCTTGAGTTCCTGAAGTCCCTTGCTTGCATACCTTTCTGACTTTCTCCAGTGGTGGGTCACGGACAAGTGCTACTCCAATCCCGAGAACAGCGACAACCACTGCACTGAACATCAGAAAGGTGGCTGGGATTGGTCTGACCTTACTACCGGATCCTTCTCTTCGTATGGAGGCTTCGATTTCTCCGGTTTTAAGTGCAGTGACAACTTCAGCGGTGGCAGCAAGCGTAGCTTCGGTGGTGTAAGTCCGCTCAATCTTCTCCTTCCACATCACGAAGGCAAGATGCTGATGGCGCACAGGGCAAATGCATTGAAGGGAAGCTCTCCTCTACCCCCAAGTTCTCCTGCGGCCAAGAGCAAAAGGGATTCTCCATTAGCAAGCTGCACCTCTCCACCTCCAAGGAGACCGACGTGCACATCGTCTATGGCATGCCCGATGGTTCCACCTGCCGTAACGTCGCTTCTTGCTCGCCCGAAGGCACCCAGGTCAGCAACGACCAGTGCGGTGGTGCCACCTCCGTGAGCTTCGAGCCCCCCGCGGGATCGGATGATGATGACTGTGACATCGGTGTCCACAGCATTGACTTTGACTGCTCTCCTGGCAAGACCACCTCGACTCCCACCGCTGCTGTGCCAACCGAGACTGGTGTCAGCCCCGAGTCGTCCTCCACTCCTGCCATTCCCACTCCTCTTCCTTCCTCGTCTGATGTGGTCCCCACGTCGTCTTCTGCAGGCATCACGACGCCCGTACCTGTCACCACTCCTGTCCAGTGGACTACCTCGACCGTGTACACTACTAGTGAGATCACCATCACCAGCTGCGCTCCTACGGTGACCAACTGCCCCGCCAATTCGATCAGTGTCATTACCTCAACCATTGCAGTTTCGACCACTGTGTGCCCCGTTACTGCCACCGAGACTGCCTCTGTCTCTCTGCCTTCCTCCGTTGCTGCGGGCTCGAGCTCTGGAAGCCCGACCCCCGACGTCACTCCTTCTGAGACTACTCCCTCTGAGACCTCCCCTGAAAGCACACCCACTGGCAGCTCTCCCGTCGAGTCCAGCTCCTCGACCCCGGCCATCACCACACCTGCGACTCCTGCTCCTTCCAACACTGCCCCTGCCATCACTGGGGATGTCACCACTACTGTCGTAACGTACGAGACCGTGACTACCTGCCCTGTGACTGAAATCATCACGAGCAGCGGCACCGTCACGACCTCCACCTACAGCACTGTCTCGACCGTCACTCTGACCTCGACCGCCACCGTCTGCACTCGCTGCACCGCGGGAAGCACCACCCTTCCCTCGGGCCAGTCCCCCGTCACCGCCAGCGAGACCAGCGACGTGCCCTCCGTGACCGCCACTCCCTCGTCTGTCCCCTCCGCCCCTTGCCCCAACATCGTGCCCAAGTGTATCAACACCTGGCTCAGCCTGCTCCCCAAGTGCGACTCCAACAGTGACGCCAGCTGCTTCTGCCCGTCCTCCGAGTTCACTGACAAGGTCATCGCCTGCGTGCAGTCCTGGGGAGCCTCGCAGTCTGAAATCCAGGCCGCTCTGTCCTACTTCACCGGTATCTGCGCTGCCTACGTGCCCCAGAACCCCGGCATCGTGACCGGCATCCCGACCACCATCACCCTGGTCCCCACCGTCACCCCCACCGGCGCCGACGCAGTCACTGCTCAGCCTACTGGTGGTGCCACCGCCACGCCGACCGGTAGTGCGGCCGTCACGCCCGCTCCCCAGGCCCCCTCCGCCCCCTGCACCACCATCACCTACTCCTCTTACACCGTGACGGTGCCTCAGGTCGCTTTCACAACTGCCACCGGCGGCTCAACCACTACCGTCGGTCTGATCCCCGGCCCCGCCCCGACCTCAGGCGTCTCCGCGGGCACCACAACCCGCGTTCCCAACCCCTGGCTGTCCTCGACGCTGGTGACCCACCCAGGCACCGCGTCGGCTACTACCTCTCCGACCGCCGGTCCCCTCCTGTCCAACGATGCGTCCTCGGGCTCCGTCTCGAGCATGGTCTGGGCTGTCGCTGTCGCGGCCCTCTTCGGCGCTCTCTACTAATCTGGCTGCGAAAATGTGCTTTTTCCGTCGCAACGTGTAACTGCTTGCTACCTTCGTTCTTTTCAATATCAGGTAATCACTGATAAATAATACTGTATTTCTGTCTCTTGCGTTATTCCTTTTCTGGATAATACTAGATAGATTGTCGAGAGGCTTCCAGCCTGCTTGAGGGTACTAATGTACCTAGAGATGTGTTAGTTCTCTCGGGGTTCTTCTCATTAGTGACTTACTAAATCCGTTCTGATGCCTAAGGGACTCGTATTTTAGATGATTACCAGCACCTAGTCCGAGTTATCAATGACTATTTTCTACCTACAAGGCACATGTTACTCATAGGCAACTTCTAACGACACTATTACACTACATTAGACCTATCTATGGGGGTGTCTTAGAGGCTCTGCTCCTACACAGACAGTCAATGTTATTCTATAGGGCCATCTGCTAGGGCCTGCAGCCAGCCCACTCCTTCTTCCTCTCTTTCCTAGTTAGATTGTCATCAAGTTAAGCATATGTTTCCCTTCGTACTTCTTAGGAAACAGTCCATTCTAGAACACAGATCGATCATATAGTATAAGCAGGCCGGAGGCATACTGCTTGGGCGTTTCCTAGAAGGCGAGAGACCGTCGACTAGGCTGCGAGATGATAGTATGGCGTGTATGCTGGGTTGGTGGAAATGCAGAATCGAGGAATGGCCGTTGAGTAGTAGGTGTTGTGGCTGCGTGAGCATGGTAGTTTATCTAATTCTAGATTGGGGGTCACCGAAGTGTATTCAACCTTGTGAGCATTTGTTGCCCTGGTATGTATGTAGAAGAGTGCAGCTCAGTGTAATTCCCGTGCCAAATACAAGACGGATTATGCAGCCGTGAGAAAGACAGGACACCGGTTCCCTTCAGGGCACGGATAGGCTAACACGTAGCCACCATCAGTCCTTGGGGGGTCGGTTGGCGTTGATGTCATTTAGAATCTCCCCTGCGCCAGCCTTGACCAGTCTTGCCGCGAGTCCCTCTCCGAGCGCGGTTGCTTCGTCGACCGTCTGGACTCTTGAAGTAATGGTATCCTCGACGCTCTGGGTGCCGTCCAGACTGACAACGATAGCGTTCATCCTCAAGGCTCCCGAAGGCGTCCACTCTGTTTCAACCCCAATAGGGACACTGCAACCACCCTCGAGGGTTCTCATGAGGGATTTTTCGGCGAGACAGGCAAGAGTGGATTTCTGGTCAGCAGAGGAAGGACCTCTCTATGTTTACCAATGGTTTCAGGCATTACGGGAGTGGACGGACTAGTTGGCCTCACCACTGGTTCATTAGATTTGGTTATGGATTACTGAGCAAGCCTGCTATATTGCTAATAATAATCAAGCTTAAGTACTCAGCTCAATAAAGACAATCATATATATAGACTAACTTTATTTCTAGTAGCCTATTTAATAAAGAAAGCAGCACATTTCATACATATCTAGAAGCTTTACCCATCTAGTATTCCTCATTCCCTCACTGTCCTAAACCATTTAGATCCTATAGAAAGCCTCTCACGGCACACTCGGGGAACTTGAAACAAGCAAGCCAATCCTGCAGAATAACTTTCACAATGTCTAGTTTTCTCTATTCCCGCAGGGTACATAAGGTGAAAAGTAATACTACCCCAAAGCTTACAGGCGCGATTATCATCCCTCTTGTAATCATTATTCTTATAATCTACATTATACTTTAGTTTTAGGCTCATGAGCATACAAAGAATCAAGCTGAACAAGTGGAAACTCAAGACAAAAGACTGGGCTTCGACAGTCTGTGAGGATGTGTCACATAGATCCAGCATTAACCAGCTCAGTGGGCGTATAGCTATACGCCTTGCCTAGAAAACCCCAAGAGCTTCCAGAAATTGAAACGGGTAAACCGAGCCAAGGTGGCGCGGCGCCCAGGAAAGACGTAGCGCCCAGGAAGGATGACACTAGGATCAGGGTGCTCATCCAGTTTCAAAGTATTGTGGCCCTTAGCCTTATAGGTTGTGTTTTGCTCACACTCAATCCTTCGGAAAGTTAAAGAAATGCAACAGTAGACGGCAACACAGCAGCAATAGAGAGTAAGGGGTGGTTTTTTAAATTAGCTTCAACTTCAATTCTATAAAGGACACTGCATTTCCCTGCTTCATCTGTATCAAACTAACTAATAACAAGACTTTTTGGTTTCTTTCAACCCAACACTATGCACTTCATCAATTTGCCAATCCTTGCTTTTTCAGCTTTGAGCTACTTTGCTCTTGATGTTATTGCAGACTCTGGCTATGGAGCAAATTGCAGTGATATTATACTAACTTCTGAGGACCATTATGTGGCAATTGGTGCTAGTTGCAAAGGGGTTGGTGAATTCTACTTGCCCTTTATACCAAAATACCTCAATCTAGATTTATGTTTTGCCAATGATGGTGGTAACCTCATTGGCCAAAAAAAGTAAGGTCTCTCCTTCACTATCTATAATTACATCTCTATACCTCTTTACTTGCTCTTCACCCAGTTGCCTGCTTCTTCTTTTACTATATTTCTTAACTAGATCTCTCTTGCTAACACATATCTATAGTGGTGGTTTTACAAAGGACTGTACAGATGTGGGTCTGTTCGGCAAGACGTTGCTTTTCGCCAGTTGTAAAAATAGTGCAGGAGGTACCAGTGTTACTTGGATTGATACAAGTTAGTTTCTATATTAATCACCAGTACTAGTATGGCTATTGACAATAGTGAACAGATAATTACATCGGAAATCATAATGGGATTTTGGAATGTTTTGGTCAGAATGGATTCTAATAAGCAGTCTTTGGTATTGCGATGGTTACTTTGAGAATGATGAAATTGATTCATATCTTGATGATTCGATTATGGATGGTTAGATACAGATAAAAGGAGAAGAACAGGATGAAGTTGCAAGCAAAAGGCAGGGATGTTTAGTAAGCACTGTTTGCATAGTTTGTCTCGTTCTCCGTGACAGTTTGTACTAGCATTAGTATACTGGGATTAAAATTATACTATAACCATCTTCTTCCTAAGACTTTTATAGAATACAACAGGGAAAATAAAGACTAGCTACATATATATATAATATACAGATAGCCTGGCTCACAGTATCTCCCTTTAGAAATAAGCTGAGGATTTCAAAAATTCATCCTATGCGCAGCTATTTATGATTCAAGACTGTGGGTAGAACAGGATGAAAAGTTATCTCTGTGTGCTTGAAGAGTGGTCAATGTATCATGGCCCTTATAGGCTGTGTTTCGCTCATACTCAATCCTTCGGAAAGTTAAAGAAATGCAACAGTATCTAGACGGCAACGCAGCAGCAATAGAGAGTACATCCCCTAAGACCTTGCTGAACTGCATGCCCTCAGTGAAATAGGAAGGATGCAGTAATTTAATTTTCAAAGTTTATGAGCCAATCACTACATATACCACCAAGTTGGTTTTAATTGGCTTCGACTTTGATTCTATAAAGGACACTGCATTCCCCTGCTTCATCTGTATCAAACTAACTGATAATAAGACTCTTTGGTTTCTTTCAACCCACCCCACACTATGCACTTTATCAATTTGCCAATCCTTGCTTTTTCAGCTTTGAGCTACTTTGCTCTTGATGTTGTTGCAGACTCTGGCTATGAAGCAGAGTGTAAAAATCTTGAATTACTTGCACCTAACTCTGAGGAACATTACCCATGGTCAATACATGGTGATTGCATATCACATCAACTACTAAGCCGATATGTGCCTACACCAATGCTCCATCTAAATTTATGTTTTGCCAATGATGATAGTAAACTTGTTGGCCAAAAAAAGTAAGGTCTCTCCTTCACTATCTATAATTACATCTCTATCTCTTTACTTGCTCTTCACCCAGTTGCCTGCTTCTTCTTTTACTATATTTCTTAACTAGATCTCTCTTGCTAACACATATCTATAGTGGTGGTTTTAAGGACTGTACAGATGTGGGTCTGTACGGCACATGGCTTTTTGCCATTTGTAAAAATAGTACAGGAGGCAAGCATAAGAATTGGATTGATACAAGTTAGTTTCTATATTAATCACCAGTACTAGTATGGCTATTGACAATAGTGAACAGATGATTACATCAGAAATCATAATGGGGTTTTGGAATGTTTTGGTCAGAATGGATGGTAAGACTGTGGGTAGAACAGGATGAAAAGTTATCTCTGCGTGCTTGAAGAGTGGTCCCAGAGCATGAGCTCAAAGCATTCTTGATATGATGTAGAGTGTCCATAGATCCTCAAATAACAGCTATATTATTAAGTACTGACGCAGCATAATTTGGAGGATTTCTATGAAGGAAGATTCATTAGTATTTTACCTGCAAGGAGAGAGGAGATGGTTATCTATGAGAGGTCCAACAAAGCTCTAGGTAGGTAGATGACGGCCACAGCTCAGACCTGGCGAGGCATGATCACCGCTGTTGAAAGTTTCTGATACTCAAGGGGGTTCTGCCAGAGATAGCGTATTATTTTGCTTCCAGAGACACTCAGTATGAGATTCGCCCATTTTTCTTTCTTAAACCAATTCCAAGTCCCTACGTAGCAGGCCACTTCCGAAACAAATCCGACAACCGATCCAACGGTGCCGTAAGCAACCCCACAGCAGTCTTAAACAGCGGCGTTGAAGGCGCTGTTGGATGCGCATGTGAAGGTATGAAGAGCTTCGTCCTGTTCAGTGACTGCGACAGCCCGAGGCTTTCCTGCTCTGAGAGCGCGTCCTCCAACCACTGCATATCCTCCGTCTCTTCGTGACGTATGTGCTCCTGGAGATCATCCCAGAGGGATTGCAGCGTGGGGATGAACCGCGGGTCCGTGGATTTCATGTCCTGGAAGGTCTTGAGCTTTTCTTTTACCTGGTGGCTAGGCTGTCAGCCGGACGCACTCACACTACATACATAAAGGAAAGGGGGTCCAACAGTCTGATGCTCGGCCCTGTCCTTCCTCGCCAACTCCTTGCCGTCGTCGAGGTATTTCTCCAGCGCGGGATACACGACCAGCTCCTCGCCGACTGCGTGCCGCGCCAGTTCCCAGGTGAATTGGTTCTGGTACTTGGTTTGCTCCTCTGGGTCGGTCGAGCTGACGATCAGCTCGTAGAAGGACTTGATCTCGCTGTGGTCGTGCTTGATTGTGTCGAGGATGCGGAATCGGCGGGCCTGCGACCAGTCCGTGAAGGCCTGGACTTGGTGGCTTATGTTGCCGCGGAGGACGTGAGGCTCGGAGACATTGCTGTCTGCTGTGGATTTTCGTCCGTGGGTTGCGGCCATGATTTGGAGCAAGCATTAGATCAATGGGGCAGTGCGGAAAGTGAGAGAAGGATGTAAGTGTGGTGTTGATCAGAGGATTACTCCTGCAGTGTAGACAAGACATCATCATGAGAAACCGTGGTTGGATGTGTTAGAACCATCATCAATTCATCACAGGCATAACACTGCACATCTGAGGAGCCATTCATTATATTGATTATATCTAGTAAACCAAAACACCTGTACAGCTATGCAAACATATCATCATGCACTGTCTTCTCAAGATACCTTTATGAGCTGTTATGAGCATGCTCTAACCAATCACCAACGCCCTCACCTCAATACTCTCCCTCGGCTTCGCGCCCTCCGGCGTCCTCGGATCCCAAAACGCAGAATGCGGCACCCGCTCCGCAAACCCATGCCCCGCTGCCGCATAACTATCTGAGCACTTCAACAACAGCCTCTCCTCATTCTCCATCCCGGAGAGATACATCCACCGCTGGTTAGGATTATACTTGACGGCCATGGTCTCGCCAGTCCGATGCGGATAGCGGTGCTCGACAGCCACGAGATCATTCTCATGGTCGACGGACGGGGCCGCCGCAAACGCCAGCGGTGCTGACTCCACGCGGCCGTTCAATGGCCGCCAGACATTAACAATGCGGTAGCGCACGCCCTGGCTGATGATGCGCTCTGCCTCCTGGGGATCTGTGACGTGGAGGCGGACGCGATCCTGCGCCGCTTTGCGGGTCTGGTCGACGTGTGCCATGTTGACGGGTTGGCGGGGGGCGTCGGGGTGTTGTTTGCGGATGGTGTGGTCGAAGATGATGATGCGCTGGGCGCCGGGGATGTGCTGCCGGAGCAGCTGCTCGACTTCTGGGTAGTAGAGGCGTTGGACTTCCGCGTCGGAGTCGAACGTGGAGTAGGTGGTTGCTGTGGGGATGTGCTGGAGGACTTGGAAGGCGTGCGTGTCGAGATTGTAGTCTGCCTCGTG